TGACAGCTGTGTAGTGAAGAGGCGCTGCTTTCTACGAGAACTATCGAATCCTGGGTCGTGAGTCGCCCGGGCCAACCAAGCCTTCCATCCCTCCGGGGTCGGTTAATTGGTACCAGACTTGTCTGGGAGGATAAAAACACTGACTTGAACATCGGCTGGCCCCCGCAAGTCATTGTATAGGCCACATCGCATTCAAATGCCACTGCGAATGTACAAATGGAAGTAGAATGCGTGCCGCATCCCAAAAAGGGATTGATCAACGGCGAATGCTTTTCCCTTCATTTCAGCGGCTCTATCTCTCTGTCTAAAATATTCACATCAACTAATTTTTGATTAAGTGGTATGACAAAATTCAAAATTGTTCTCCTGAATAGAGTTACGTGGGTAATGGTAACGACGAATTCTTAAAAAATTGTTTGGGATTAGATTCTTCACAGTTTTCTGCCTTTTTCCAGCAGTTTTTGATGTTGAGTAGTAATACTTTTTTACGTTCTTTGTACGTGCGCTCCTGCTTGTTTTGCTGAGGGAAAACAGCTGATTCTTCCGTTTGACGTCAGTGATGCTCACACGTGTATTCCTAGGTTAGTTGCTTGACTAGTTTAAGTTACACTGTAGGAAAAAAGTTTATTTTTGCGTTTTTCGAAGTTCATTCATTCTGTTGTTTACTTGAGTATGTCCTTGTTTTTTGTTGTTTCGTTTAAAATCAAGGGGACGTTAGTGCGCTATTTTGGTCGAGGATTCGGAAAAAATCCTTTCAAGTTTCATATGCTTTTTTTCAAGCAAGTGTCTTTTTCATCTTATTATTAGTACCCTTTTTTACTTACTCTTACTAAAATTTCCTACAACATGCCCTTCCTTGGGGAGGTGCTGTTTGGGAATAGCCCTCCCTTGGAGAAGTGTTGTTTAGGAGAATGCCTTTCCCTGGCGTGGTGCCGCTCAGAAAAACGTAATATTCGGAAAGGTTTCGTCATTTTCCGACCGGTGAAAATGTTGTATATGGTTGAAACACTTTGTTTACTTGTTTGTTGTTGGCGTTGTTACTTTGTTTCGATAAGATTATATTTGATAGGAATATGTTTATTATGGCATATTAATAAAAGGTTATGATACGGTATGTAGATTTGATACATGTACATGTTTAAAACGGTCAAATCAGTAGTTCCTTTGTGAACGATAAACAGTAAATGAAACAGCTGTTTGCGAGTGATATGGTATAGACCAAGATTGCGTGGCGAGTGTGAATGGCGGCAGCTCTCAGCAATTTCACCTAATCCACATTCATAATTGGCATTGCTCCAAGACTAGAAAGTATCACGAATCCGGCGGTCATATACAGGTAGAAGTCGACGAAAGAGCATAAAACGGCTACGAAATTAGAAAAAAACATCCAAAGGAACACGAGCACACAAAGCACTAGTGGTTCGATAGCGAGAATCTCGTGCGAAAGGGGCGGGACCCTCGGCGCTGATTGGCCTCTTGTAGAGCTGGCCAATCAGCGGTGGCCACGCCCCTTTCAGACGTCGCTATCGAACGCTGTTGTACATCGCTCTAGATTGGGCTCACACTATGGCACAACACTGAAACATTATCAATAGAACTTATGAACGAACGATGCATATTATTAGGTAAAGTACCCGGATTAGTCCGGAATTCTCACTTTGGATAGCGCTCAAAGGACAACTCAAGAGAATTTCCCCACAGACGAAAGGAGAAGAGAGAGAGGAACTAGGAGGACAAGTCACAAACATAAAGAAGGAACCAACAGTAGCCAAATGCCTACACTGAATGGCCGAAGCCTGACATTCGGAAACGACACACGAATAAAGCTTATTTGATACGGTTACTAAGGATGATCACGGAATTGTTTTGTAAAAGCATTGAACGTAGGTGAACACACATTTCCAATCAGGTCGATCTCCCATCAAAATCATGTCGTCCACCTCCAGCAGAGGGCAAATTCCATGCTCCCTGAAATCGTGTGAACTTCGTATAGCATACACCAGGACTTCATTCTTACTAGAGGGCTTGTACACGCTCAGCAAGAGCCCGTTCTGGCATGTACCATTTGCAAGATGTTTTATAGTTTCAAGTTCGTATCGATGGAGCGATCGTACGTTCGCCGCGACACGAGGGACTGTCTGATACTTGGAGCCGCGTCCATGGCCATGCGTCGCAGTGTTAGGCCGATGTCAGACTTTGCGAATCGCGCGATTCGCTAGCGTCTGCGGTCGCGTCGCGGCCAGTGAATCACTCAATTGGCTGGTACCGCAACGCGACCGCGGACGCTAGCGAATCGCGCGATTCGCAAAGTCTGACATCGGCCTTAGCTTAGTCTTTCACAAGTCTAGTCCCAGCAATCGTGCTATCGCTGGGACTCGAGCGATGAGTGTGGCCTAAGCAAAGGTCAACAGTGCGTTGCACAGATTTCGGAAGTTTTACGACCTCCTTCTTTTACGAGGTTCCGATACGACTCCCCACCACCATCAGCCTGAAAGGGTCTCCCAATAAGACTCCCTGCCCACACCGATCATCACCCTCACCATCCAGGCAAGTTCTATAGTGATTAGTTCACAGTGGAACAGCGAAATAACTCCGCCACTTTTTCCCCGCATTTAAGATAAGAAGTAGGGGAAATATTCAAGGATTTCAGTGTTTCTCTAATATTCCTCCTCGACGATGTTTTCATAAAATCACAAAACCACAAACATTTCCCTCCCTCCCCCGTACCACATCCAATCAAACTCGCAAAGTACGCCCTCTACCGAAACACTCAAGTAAGAACCCCCGTTAAAAGTACGAAGTTATACGAGACCCTGGACATAAATCGTTAGCTGTACTGCGAATTGACGTAGACGGGGTGACGCAAGCTCGAATCACTAAATGTTTTTTCCATGACCTTCAGAAGTTCTACGCCTTTTTCAAGGAGCTTAAGTTTTTCCAGAACTTTTTCAAAACAAAACAATGAGTCCCAAAAAAAACTGAGTGGACGCGTGCGCTGGTGGAACCACTGAGGGTGGTGAAACATGATGAGTTAGTCAAATAGGACAAGGGTATTGCGCCTTCCCCCCCTTCTCACTCCCCCGGTCTTTTTGTTTTCCTGAAGCACATGAGCGTCTTTCTTTTGTTTATTTATTAAAAAGGTGGCGAAATGGTCTTATGTTTTCCTGTATTTATCATTCATCCTTTTTTTAATCTTTTTCTCTTTTTGATTCGCGAATAACTCTAAGACTTGGAGAGTGCGACAAGACGGCAGTACGTTATGTCGCCCACAAATCAACAGCTACTGTTTGCGAAAGTAATTATTGCCAATGCGATCAGAACTTACTCTGCCACTTTAAACGCGAGCTCAAAGTTCTGCTTTCTGTTCTTTGGGTCTAATTTGTTGAAATCAAATGCGTCCGGAGCGAATCGATGGATCTAGAGCACAGAATGCCATTCATCGTCGGCCCATGACGACGAGAAGTTCGTGACGGAGACATTCTGGAAAAATGGATGTCTATAATCATGCAGTAGATTAATCACACAGTTTTTTCATTGGCTAGATTAACAATAAAACGCACTAACTAAAGTTACACATGTCTCATAAAAGGCCCTTGGTACGGTAATCCGGTCATCGTTAACAAAAGTAAAGGTGGCAGATAGTGAAGCGGTGAGAAAAACCAAGAAAAACGGTCCAAACTTGCGAAATGGGGCCATATTTTGCCTGTTGGTTTCCGCGCTCGGCAAGATTCTGCTGAACTTGGCGTGTCAATGTAGACGTGCTCTGCCTTCTAAGTCTCCGGACACAGGCAGGGAGCCCTCCACTATACCAAACGCAGGACATTCGGGCCGCCTGTAGAGAGGGCCATCTGCAGGGGTCAACGATAGGGTTGGAGGAAATTTGGAAATACAACCCCACCCCCACGTCCGCCCCCCCCCACCCCCCCCCCCCCCCCACCCTCCGCCGGAGGCCGAAGTCCATGAAACAACCCTCTTCAAAAGCCGAACTATGAAAAGGTTGAAAAGCTTGTTTAATTCTCCCCAAAACTGCTCATAAAAAAGCCCTGCTACCCCACCGCCCACAAAAAAATTCGTTTAAGAAGTACAAAAGTGAAAAAGTCAAAGAATAATCATTACTGATGAGTCCTACCAAACGAGCAAACGAGAAACAGACCAGAAAACGACAAACTAGCCACTAAAAATGGCATACCCAACATCTGTTCTTCATTTATTTCCTCCACAAGACTTACCAAATTCTAGTACTACACAGATTGTGGTTCTCAATTTGCACGTAGCCCTTCAGTTGAAAGAAGCTTTTTAACACCGCCTTCGCCAACTGAGTGTTGACTGGACTTTGGCGTTGACCGTGGAGCAGCTTATTTACTATTGAAATTTGAACAAATATTCAAATGATTATAACTTTCTTCAAATATGACGAATTTTCAATCTGAAAGCAGATTTGGAAGTTTTGTGAAGAGCTTTTTCTAATCAGTATAGAAATTACAAAAAGTTATAAGAAATAACAAATTTAGGTCAATTAACGAGGAAAATTCGAGATGAGCACGAGTTTTTACACTTTCCGAAGCAACAACTTGCTTCATTTTCGTCAAATTCGAAAAGTTAATATGGCAGACAAAACTAGAAGATTTTCTCTACCAAACCGTTGCTAAAGCAGCTCTATACGTCCAGTATTCAAAAAATGGCCACGTTGAGGATTTTCTGCAAAATTAACGAGGAAAATTTGTGATGAGTGCGAGTTTTTTTACTTCCTAAAGCCATAACTCCGTTCAAACTCATCCAATCCGAAAAGTAAATACGCCATCATAAACTAGAAGATTTGCTCTATCAAATGCTTACTAGAACTGCTCCAAACGTCCAGTATTAAAAAAACGGCTACGTTGAGGATTTTCGCACGAGTACCGCCGAAAGGTACTTTTTCGCTACATTGGCACTATTTCAACGGCTGTATATCCTTTTAAGGGCGATTATGTACTAAAGTAAGAGCAGATTTGGAATCACTGCTTTTCTCTTTCTAAGAAAAGTGATTGATTAGCGTTTCTCAACTTTAAAGGTTACATGTTTATAAATTTAACCCTGAAGAGTCCGTTAACGCAATGTTGAATGGTGTACACCTCCCTGTAAATGCGCACGGACACTTTCAGAATTCTCTCGATTGTTCCTGAATTGAGGTTGTTTGTCCAAGGAGCCGTAGTTGAAGCGCGCGCAACAACTAGACCCTTTCTCGGATGCGCCGTGTACCTCACATCCCTTCCGATTCGGGGTCTTACTTGAAAGATGAAATATCTCTTGGAAAGCGTGCGAAATTCAGATTCTTTAACTTGTGTGGTGATAAAACACTGAAGTAACTAAGAATTACCGGACGCCTCAGAATCACGAAAATTTTGTGTGGGTGAAATATCATTTTCATTGGAAATCCTCTGGCCTGGCATCGACTCATCCTTGATATTTGTCTTCCGACGGTGATGATCCCACTGCATCAAAATGGCTCGATCTCTTCCACCCAGCGGGCCAATACGACCCCCCCCCTGCGACGTGTCGAGGATTCCTCAACGCACGCTTGACCCTGCTCCTGTGAAATGGCCTCTGCTGAAGTCGGCGGTTACACGAGAAAGCCTTGCTGGCCGCTACGAACGAACTTTGCAAATTAACGATACAAGGCAGAGTTTCTGGTGGGTCTAGTCCCTTAAACACATAAACAAATTTTTCTTTTTAATGGTTATTCACCTCACTTGCTGAATGACTAAGGAGGATGTGTGAAAAAAGAAGGACGTGAAATTTAGAGAGTAGTCTTAGTGGTACGGAGAACGGGAAACCATACTAACAAGTAGGTAGGAGGACGCACTTGCGAGATTAGGTCAAAGATGTGGACCGGCATGAATTCGCAGCGAAGGGTATGCCCTCGGCGATCTGGCATGGGCATTCCCGCGCCACTGCTGCCGCTTCCCGCCCAGCCCTTCGCCGTCCGGCTCTACCCGCTTAGCACCGAGAGCTTGGCGTTGATGAAGTCATCACCGATGAGACACGCTTAACGCGCAAGTCAACGAGCAGAAGGGGGTCCCTTTCTTGAACTCTAGGTTGTTTCTCTTGGTTTTTTCTCATCTCTGCATCCCTCACCACCACTACCTCGATTTCTAGTGGGCTGTCTTTTCATCGTGAACTCCGCCTTCAAAGCGTACAGCAGCATCCGATCCTATAGCGTGGAGAGATTTTTTTGTACTCAAGCGTAATTTGAGTGATGTATTCGCTCAAGGAGAGAAAGCTCAGAGAAAATCCCTGATTGATTGACTCCGTGAACTTTTTATCTACCGTAATTTCATAACACTGACCGGATATCCTTGCACTCGATTTTGAACCCATCGAAGTAGCGCATCCTTGATCGAATTCGGATTCATTGCACGAGGTGATGCTGTGGTGCTGTTCACTTTCTCCATTTGTTTGAAAATATTCGTACGAGTAGCCATTTTTTGTTGCGCTGAAAACTCGACTGCATTAGCCACATAAAAACTGGATTGGATTAAGCTCTTGTCTTGAACACGTCCGAGTGATGAGCAAAAATCTATATTTACTACAAAATTTCAACTAAACAAGTTTGCAAGCTTACAAGGGCGGCGGTCTTTTAGAGCGTGAAGCGCTCTTTCACAGCGGTTTTCTGCATTATAGAGGAACTCAGGCATGAGCAGATGAGCCCCGGGGGTTGATGAAAGCAATGTGGTTCATCTGAGTTAAGGGGCGAAACGAACCACTTTATGTTTTTTAACATAAATAATTTATAAATGCTTTTGTTTTTTGCTTTTATTATGGACCACCAAACTGAAGTCCATTTTCGCTGAGCGGCCCTGTGAGGCTAAAAAGGCGGTGAAGAAATGGTCCGTGGTTCAGTTCCCTGTATTACAAAGTTTTTGCATTTGTCCGAGAGCATACAAACCTTCTACAAATAGTGCCAGCGCCAGTAGTAGGTGTCACATTTACTACCAGGACCCGGTTATCTTCGCCAGAATTTCCATACATCAGTCCAACGCTGTCAAACCACCCACTCCAAGCAAATTTCTCAGTCCTTTTTGGATTTCAGTGGGCCGCTTAGGCCGATGTCAGACTTTGCGAATCGCGCGATTCGCTAGCGTCCGCGGTCGCGTTGCGGTACCAGCCAATTGAGTGATTCACTGGCCGCGACGCGACCGCAGACGCTAGCGAATCGCGCGATTCGCAAAGTCTGACATCGGCCTTAGCGAAAAAGAATCTCAGTTTTGTGGACCACAGGAGATCGCCTACAGCATGCAAAAAACCATTTTCGAAAAAGCGCTCCACTCTCTGAAAGCCCTCTTATTGCCAATGTAGTAATTTCTCGAACCGGAGCATCTTCCTACTGTAACCTCAGTTATGGTTGGGTGAGGAGACGTGCGTTTCTCCTCCTGGGGTCAGGTCACCACAGTTGCGCGATCATTGAAGCTTAAGGTTAAGTTTGGGTTTAGACTTAGGTTAAGGCTTATGCTTACACATTGGCTTATGCCTAAGCCTATGACTGGGCCTAGGCTTAGTCCTAAGCTTGCTCCGAGCGAATGAACGGCGTCTCAATTTTAGGTGACCTGACCCAGGAGAAGAAACGCTACATATACCCATTCTGGAGAAATCATGAAAGGGAAGTTGATATGAAGCGGTGAAGGTGGCAGGCAGTAAAGTCACTAAAAGTCAGGTGAGCATTAGACTGGGACAATTCATTATGAACCATTCTGCAGGACCACATATTGAACCCGTGTAAACTCTATCCGAGGTCCTATTGCGAACCGCCGTTATGTTTACACTTCCGTGATTTTTTACTATTTTACTTGATAATCAATAATCTAACAAAACTTAATCAGTATGCAAATGTATCATATGTTCTGCGTCGGAAAAAAACATATTGATAAGTTTGTAACATTACAAAATGCTGAACAAATCAAGCATTACTATCCCTTTCCACGCGGTGGCGTGCTGCACACGCGTCAAGTGCATCACGCGGTCCGCATTGGGTTATATCTTATATGCAGCGCTGAAGGCAAAAGCGTGTTCGAGTTATGTGATCAAGAAGCAGAGGAAAGCTCATTGTCGAACTTTAATGGATTCGAATGCACGCATACTGGCTTACCCTTGGGAAGCAAGTGAGGTAAAAAAACTCGCCGGATAATCGGGTTAGAATGGGCTAAAAGTAGCCCTCAAGTCTCTCATTCGACGAAAACGGTGTGCATGGTTCAATCGTTATCATTATGTGCTTCTTTTATTGCTTCTCACGAGGTTTTTAGTGATATCTTATTTTGGCCAACTTTGCGACCTTCACGTCGTTTTCAAGGGCCTTAGGATCCACCGCTAGAGTGTAGACGCTACACTCAGTTAGTACACATTAGTAGTGAATTCGCTACTCTAGCGGTGGATCCTGAGGCCTTTGAAAACGACGTGAAGGTCGAAACGTTGCCGAAATAAAGATTCCACCTAAAAACTTCGTGGCGGAAGCGTAAAGAACACAATAATAACGCTAAAAGTAGCGATTAAAAAGCGAAAAACTGCCCAAAGAGATCGAAAATTTCTACAAAACTTGAAAATCGGAACGTTCACAACGAATACTCGCGAGTCTGTAACTCCAAGTCGCGCTCCTTCTTCGAGGGATATGAAATTGCTGGCATTCTTTGTTAGGAAAGCTTGTAGAAAGCCAGTTGCTGCGTAAAATCAACATAACGTGCTGGCGACTTTCAAAAATATACAACCCCTCTCCGTTGGTTGATGGTGTTGTCCAACGGTCCAATCTGACACCCTCCCTAATCTACTCCCAAATAACAAAATCACGTTGCTTGGGGGAGGCCATAATCCCGAGATTTTGCCCTGAATTTCGTGAATCAATCATGTCTTTCCGGAGAAACTCTTCAGAAGCGAGAAAAAATTCCGAAAAACATATTTCAACGCGAATAGTACGATATTTGGACTAAGAAGGAGTGCAAGCGAGCCCGATACAGGCAAATCGCCTGTTCACACTTTTCCAGTTGAGTGACGCATTGTGATTTTGGGAGGGGAGCCGTCTTTTGAGCTGAAGCTAGTTACCTCTGTTATCCCTGGAAAAGTACGAAAGGAGTTCAAGAAGGATCTGATGGAGTTTTTGATGAAGTTGTGCGAAAGCTTCCACAGTATCGTGAAATAGGGCAAAATGTGGATTTGCTGCTCCATTGAACAAATTTACCCCCTTCCCCTTCTCCTCCTCTCTCGACGGCCGTTTTGGCCGGAGTTGAGCTGTGTCGACTGGTCTCAAAATCGACTACAATAGAAACAACAACGAGGGCCCAGGGGGAGGGCGCAAAACTTCCTCAAAAAGTGCGAACGCGACAGTTGACCCTGGCTTCGAAAATCCTTCCAAGGAGACGAAACGGCGGGATGTCCCTAATTACTATAAATCTGACAATACTCGACAAAACTCCCTTCACGTTGTCCTCCCTTATATGACCCTATTCTAAAAAGAACCAAATGTCACCCTCCGTTTCCCTTCCCAACACATCTCCCAGGAAGCATGCCTTATTCTGCTTTAACAAGCAGAACTCGGTTTACACAGATCAATATCGGCGCTATCGTAATATGCGGGGGCATCCTCTGAAAGCAAGACTAAGAGGGGCAGAGGCTCCAAGGGAATGAGAATTGCTCATGCGATGTCTTTCATCTGCCGCCCAAAACTTAGCCACGATTTTAGCAAAAAGGAGATGTTTCACTCCGATTGCTTAATGCACTTCCTAATCACAATGCCCCCGCTGTCTTGTGAATGGCGTCAAATTTCTGTTTAAATATCCAAAACAGTAGAGATACGCTGTTTTAGAAATTGAAAACGCTACGACTTGAGAGCAACTCAATACTCAGAGGTAGGACTGGATAACTGTTTGGATAACTGTGAGACTGGGCCGCGGAGAGAAAGCCATCGAATAGCTCAACAAGAGGAACACTGAAAAAAAGACCTTTGGCATTGTGCGCTTGGCGTGCCGATGAGTGCTACGACATGCTGTCGGGCCAGATGTGAGCGCTTGGAAATCACTAGAATAAACAGATGTAATAGATAGGGGCGTTTGCGGAGCTTCTTAAAAACATTATAGCGGATTTCTGCCGGCGTTTACACTGTTTGGTGGGTGTTTAAAAGAAAACATTAGCATTTCGACGCCTTTATCAGATCAGTTGTAAATTCCGCAGAGGTCAGAAACGGTCACCGGAAAACGTTCGAATAGAGGTCATTTGGTCATTTGCCTACGCGCAAAATACAGTTGCACTTCACTGGTTCAATAGGACATTACAGTATCCGCGTTGTAGTCTACAGTATCCTGCTCCCTTGTTGTGAGGATAGGATTAAGTAAATTACAAGTGAATGAATTATTTGTCGCATAAAATGTTGGTATTACCAGAACTCGTAGATTACTTGTTCCAATAGGCATTCCCTATAAAATTACGTCATCACTCTCTCCCTCAATAATTTCTCAAAGGTATGACCCAGGGGCGGAAGTGGTGTAGTGACAAGTGGCGCGCTTACCACGCGAGCGGTCCGGGGATCAAATCCTGGGTCGTGAGTCGCCCGGGCCAACCAAGCCTTCCATCCCTCCGGGGTCGGTTAATTGGTACCAGACTTGTCTGGGAGGATAAAAACACTGACTTGTACATCGGCTGGCCCCCGCAAGTCATTGTATAGGCCACATCGCATTCAAACGCCACTGCGAATGTACAAATGGAAGTAGAATGCGTGCCGCATCCCAAAAAGGGATTGATCAACGGCAAATGCTTTATCCTTTATCCTTTTTATCCCACCATGGAAACAGGCGTCGGTTTGTGCACAAACGAATTCAAATGTATTGGTGCAAGTGAGCCGTCAGTAAGGAAGGAAAAAAGAATCCTTCGAAAATGCTAAGGACAAGGGCTCACTTACCCTCGTAATCGGCTGTACTAAGGCAGTGAGAGAATAAGCGCTGAAAGGAGAGTGTGAGGCGAGAGAGCGCAAGGGATGAGAGGGTGCCAGACAACACCATGAAAACATTGCAGCTGCTGCAGCAACTTTGCAAGAGCCATAGCACCACTCTTCCGGTGATTTCCATGCTCATTAGTAACACATCTGCGACTTTTTCTTCTCTAGGGGTCTAATCCTATGGGCCGGAGCAAATCGTTCACCGACTTCTGCCTGAGTTGTGCCTTCAATAGCTCAGCAGCGCGGTCAGGATTTCTGTATGGGCTGTGTAGAGCCGGTTACTCCCAGGAAAAAAAAAACCCATGTAAAGATGGAAAAAGTCACGTTAGACGTATGAAAAACTAGTCAAGGAATTAGAAAAAAAACACGTAAGATCCTTAAGATGCGCAGTGCATTCGACTGCTCTACTAAACTGAAGTCGAGATAGAGCCGTAGCTGTTTTCTTCCGGGGATCAGGGTTGCATCAGACCAAGTCTGTTTGCTTTCTAATAAGTTTCTTATTTTTGGGCATATTTTAATCG